CATTCCTTCTTCAAAATAGATCCATTTAAAAAAATGACTGTCTGTAGTAATCGACAACATGCCACAGATTGTGTTCAAAAAGTGCAATTTTATTTAACCCAGACCGTTCCTTTGAGTAAACTACAGCTACAGTTCAGCTTTTCCTTCTGCAAACCTGAAGTCTCACTGTGGGGTCTCTGGTTCACGCCTGTCACTGCTTGGCTTGTGGTGTTGGAGGGGTGGCTGTTTGTTTGTTTGTGTGAATCTCTGTGAGTGACACTATCTCCCTGCCCATCTCCTCAGCCTGTGGACACAGAGGGCTTCACCCATCTTCCTCCCGAGCAGCGCAGGAAACGCTTGCAGCAGAAGATCGATGACATCAGCAAGGAGCTGCAGAAGGAAATGGATCAGAGGTGAGTCGCCTGCCATGCCAACTCTCCGACAACTATCGCCATGACCACCGGCCACAGCTGAATCCACAGGGTTGCCGAGGTCTGGGCTTTGTTTACTAAGCTCGTCAGGTCTCTGAAGAATCAGTGGTGTTGAGTGCCACAAGTAACCGTATCTGTTTGTTCTTTGTCTTTCTCTGTTACGATCAAGATAGCTCTTGCTATCTTAAATAAATATATTTACGTCTCTGTGCAGTGAGGCTTTGGGTAAAATGAAAGATGTCTATGAAAAGAACCCTCAGATGGGAGATCCTGCCAGTTTGGCACCTCAGATCACTCAGACGGCACAAAACATGGAAAGACTGAGAGGAGAACTCAGCAAATATGAGGTTTCAGTTTAATTCTCTCTGTAAATCTTTATATGCTTCATAAAGACTTTTCTTAACACACTGGTGTCTTGGTTTGTTTGGTAGTCCTGGCTCGCAGAAGCAGGGGGCCGAGGAGACTCGATACGATACTCGACGCACTCTCTGAACAATAACGGTGCTCATAACCCCAGCAGGTCAGTTGTATTTCAACGAACATGATTTTCTGATTATGGTGTGTATTCTAAATAAGCTTATTCTGAATAAGAGGTTTACATGCTTCACAGCTAATGACATTTTTT